TCTAGACAATGAGAACCGTAAGACCCGATTGGTAGAGGTGGAGAAGAATCGCCAACTTCGGTTGAAATTGTAGCGAAGGGATCCCACTGTACGCCGTACAGACCATTTATAGGGAAATGCCGTAATCGGCTGTGGCAAACAATTCGGGTTGACTGACGACGACTATGGGCTGCGATGGCGGCAGCCTCTTGAGAAGGCGGAGGAATGTAGACAAGGCAGACAAGTCGTGGAAACCACGTTGTGTCCCGTTGTGTGGCACCGAAATAGGTGGGCCAGGGGGTTGGGATTGGCTGGGATTTGGACTCGTTGATGAGAAACCCAGGCTCTTGGAGACTCAGCGGGTCTGACAGACTGCGCAAGCCGTTGATATCCACTATTCACTGATGATGAAACCATCGTCGAGGTTTATCAACATCTATAGACCTTGACGATGGAGGGTACTGGCTAGTGTCTTCATATTTCTGGTGAAGACTCCGAGTCTGGCAGGCGTGTGTGTCCGATGAGGGGCACTCGTGAACCCGAGGCAGTAGCTGAGTGAGACGATGTCGAGTACCCACCGGGCTGAAGTGATTTGGTCCAAGGAACCGGTCGAAATGGGTCAAACGGGTTCTCACAGATTCTGTGATGGGTGGCCCATTGTCTGTGGGCATATATTATTTACTTCCGCCAGCCGAACCATGGCTGAAAGGCGGTGGTAGAGGCTGAAGGACAGAAGTTGGCCCGTGGATTTGCAGGGCATTGAGCAGTGGAATGAAAACCACTGCTTGGCGGCTGTGGACGACTGGGAAGACAGTTTTGGATGAACCTTCGTCAAAGTGATCTTCTTCGTAGTAGTCTGAAACTGGTTGGTAAAGAGGGGTCGCCCTTGGAAAGGAAGGGACTCGAGACATTTGGAGGGCTGAAATTTGACATCAAAATATTTATCATGCACGTCGTCAGCAACGATAGGTTGTTTCGTCTGCCGGGAAGGAGTACAGACTCGATCGAAAAGGAGGCTGACACAGTTTGGATTGGTCGAACACCAACTGGATGAACAAACCCGATCGAAAGAAACCACTGGGGTGGGATCGGGTGTGACTAGTGAGTCAGGAGCTGTTGTCATTTAAATGATCTCGGTTGTGTAGTAGGTGTAGGGTTCACAGAACCCCAATACGTGCGCCATGTCTCGTTGTACCAGGCAATAAAGCGTGGTCATTTATTTATTTATTTATTTATTTCGTGTTATTTTACCAGGGTAGCCCCATCAGTTGTCAATGAACTGTTCTCCCTGGGGGCCCTGGTCATGGAGGCTGGCATAGTTGTGTCCTATTGTTCGGCCTAACGAGGTGACAGGGAAGAGAAAAACATCTTAGTCGTGGGCCGGAGTTTCAGACGGCAAGTCCGTAGGAGCGCCGAGAGAACTAGGGGCAAATACTAACACGACTGGAGCATCCGGAGGACGGAAAACGTGTGGGGTATGTTAGAGTTTTGGGCCAGTCGAGGCTGAGAAGGAGACAGGCCTTCTACTTCTGAGAAGAATCAGTGTCAGATTGTGGAGGGACCCCAGAGGCAGCAGGGAACTCTGTTGTATAATGAACCACTCAAGCCCGGTTCATACTCTGCGCGAAAACGAAAGCGAACGCGAATTTGTGACGTCGTGGCAAGTATTCGCACTGCGAATTCGTAAAAGTTGAACATATTGCAACTCAATATTTCAATTTCGCTTCGCATTCGCTTTCGCATGAAGTATGAACCGGGCTTCAGAGAAACCAAGGGCTGGGGTGAGCAAAGTTGAATCACCGCCCGGGCAGGCGGGGCCCTGGCACCGGGGATTGCCGGGCCATGGATATGGCCGACGATGCTGGTGGAGTAGCGGTGGACACGGTCGCTTGGCCGTCGGTCTCCCCACGGACGGCACCTGGCCGAGTCTTTGAGGTGTTACTGAGTTTGGAAATCACCGAAGAGTATTGCTTTGGGGGCCCAGTGGATGACATAATTTCAGAACGGGGGAAAAGCCCTTATAAACTGATTGGTAAAAAAACAGACGTTACCCTCAGTAGTCATGACGTCCGGAACGATAGTGTGGGGGCCGGTACAATCTTGGAGCGGCCAGAAAACTAGTTTGTAAAAGAGCGATAGGCCTATCAAATGGAGGATGTATCGCTCTAGTGCTCTAGTATAAATTAACAGAACAGAATAAGATGCTTGAAGCGTCACACCATGTAAATGTGAGATAACAAAATCGCCGGTTAAATACATGTAACGGCTTTTGTTTTGAAGGTGAAGCACCAAGTTTTCGGTGCAGCGTGAGGGATTTGCTGGCCGTGAAATATCATGCTAACTGTTAAAGGCAAAAGCACCGAATAATCAGTGCAGCATGAGGGATTTGCTAAAAGAGAAAAATCATGCTGACTGGTCCGTAAGGCGTGCGTTGGAGTTAACAACTTGCAGTCAATGTTGAGAAGTCTCACACATTGGTCAACACAGCCATGAGATGAAACTGCCGGTAAAAATAACGGCATTCGTTTTGAAGATGAAAGCACCGAAAATTTGGTGCAGCGTGAGGGATTTGCTAAGTAGCGAAATATCACGCTGACTGGTCGGCAAGTTGTGGAGTCAGATTTCACAACTTGCAGTCAAATTTTGCGAAGTCTTGCACGTTGGTTCAAAAATCACGGCGTTTGTTTTGAAGGCAAAAGTACCGAAAATTGGGTGCGGCGTGAGGGATTTGCTAAGTAGCGAAATATTACGCTGACTGGTCAGTAAGTTGTGGCATAGGAGGTAACAACTTGCAGTCGATTGTGTGAAGTCTCGCATGTTGGTCAATACAGCTATGAATGAGATAACGAAACTGCCGGTAAAAATAACAGCGTTCGTTCTGATGGCAAAAACACTGAAAATTTGGTGCAGCGTGAGGGATTTGCTAACAGCGAAATATCATGCTGACTGGTCGGTAAGTTGTGGTGTAGCAGTTAACAACTTTTCGTCAATGCGAAGTCTCGCGCGTTGATCAATATACGGCTATGAGAAAATGAAACTGCCGGTTAAATAACAGTGTTTGTTTTGAAGGTGAAAGCACTGAACGTGTTCGGTGCAGCGTGAGGGAGTTGCTTAGTAGCGAAATATCACGCTGATGGGTCGGTAACTTAGTAGCGTAGCTAAGGGGTGAGCGGCTTGCAACTAGTGTGACACTCGCCCCATGCAAACTCTCACTCTATCGGTACAGCAACACAGATGCGAGACAACGAAAGCTGCCGGATAAATAACAGCGAATCGCTGGTGAAATAGCGGCGTTCGTGTGGAAGATGAAAACAACGAGTAGTTGGTGCAGCGTGAGGGATTTGCTAAAAGTGAAATATCACGCTGATGGGTCAGTAACTTGTAGGGTAGGTAAGGGGTGAGTGGGTTGCAACTCGTGCGACACTTGCCCTGTGTAAAGTCTCACTCGTTTGGTACAGCAACACTGTTGTGAGATAACAAAAACTCCCAGTTAAATAACAGGGTATTGCTGGGTAAATAACGGCATTCATTTTGGAGACGAAGACACCAAACATTCGGTGGAACATGAGGGATTGGCTTAAGAGCGAAAATCACGCTGATGGGTCGGTATGTTGATGTGTAGATTCGGGTGAGCGGCTTGCAATGCGTGCGTTGCTCCCCCATGCAAAGCCTTGTCCGTTCGGTACGGCGTGATTGACTTTTAGCCCGAAAGCCTCACGGTCGATTAGTCGTGCCGTACAAGCGTATACTAGTGACACATATGTTCATCCCTTCCACTTAGTTTGTGCGCATGCGCCAAAATCTCGGCTAATGCCAGTGACTGTCGAAATGGCAGCGCCGCGGAGAGGAAAGACACACCAATTTTCATCTGAAAACATCCTGCTCATTTTGCTAGATTAAGTGAAATACATGATACCAGATGAAATTCAATGAGTTTATTTTAATTTTATTCACCTTATCTTTGTGATAAAACATCGACATTTTCAAGAAAATGTTGTTTTAGATCATTGTTTGCTTTCCAATTCCATGCAATCATCGGCAAAAAGGGCCAACTTAAGTTGGGATTTTAAAAAAAATTTCACTTTCCCCAAACATGCCACTTATCACAGCATTTGAATGAGATATTAAAACATATTATTACATGATTTGCGAGTTATTGCGAATAGGTTTGCATTCCTTAGGTGGGTATTGTTTTTGTAGTTTCCGACTGTGCGTTTACATGTACGAACCGCGCGCCATCAAAAACGATGTCACCGTGCATGGACGGCCAATTTTTTTAAAAATTGGATTGTTTCTCGCAGGGTTTGAAGAATTTTCTCTTAAAATCTTTTTTTCAGACTTATTTTTATATTTGGACAATCTCAGCTCATAACATGATTGTAAAATTCATATTAAATGTTCTCAGAAATTTTCACGAGTTTAGGTCACCTGTAACTTGTGAAAATTATGTGATATTGTTTTCGGCTGATCAACGGGTGCGGAATGGTGCCATCTGTACGATTTCAGAATCTTTTGGTCCTGTATGCATGCGCGAAAAAAAAAAAATTGCAATGTACTGTGGGTAATAAATCTTAGCGAATGGCTAGCGCCCTCTAGGGAATAATGAATTATGTAGTAATACTCTACGGGTAAGTAGAGCGCAGTAGAATTGATACACCAATGAAGCACGTATTAAACAAGCATGTTCTTCCACTCATCTGATGAAAACAAGAGTTACTAAAATTGATCCTTTCTATCAAAAGTTATGCATATTTTACCAACACAGAACCTAGTTTTGTCGTTTTCCTCAGCAGGTTTTTGTTAATTGTATTAAAAGGGTATTCATCAATGCATATCGATAAATGATCAGTGGTGGACAGCTGAGTTTTGTAGTATCAGAGATGAAACTGGCACTAGCAAAAAGAATCGGAAATTTCGCCGAACCAAAATTTAGCATAAAGGTAAATGAACAACAAGACCATATTAATAAAAAAAAAATTTAAAAATATTTTTAAAAATTGATAAATCAAAAAGCATTTTACCTGTCTGCTGGCTTGTGACTTGAGCACTTTAAGTAAGTCTTGTGAGAATCGTTTGATCTGTGTACGGTGGGTCAGGGTCAGTAGTTTATTCTCAGTCATCCCAAGTACCTGTATATGTATATATGTAAGGTCATTCCAGTCATTATTCTTTAAAGTACTAACTGTAATGCCAATAAGAAATTAGTGAGTTCAATCCATATTTAACTACAAATGTGAAAGTGCAAAATATACCACACAGTAGGGAACATTTTGACTGTGTGCTATCTAACAGCTGTATGGTGGGTACCCTAACTTCCTTAAATTCTGTTTGTAAAATTAAATGCACATCAAAAAAGGGAATTTCAAAGAATCAATAACCTAAAAGCAACAAGACCAACTGCAGAGAAATTCTGGGTTGTGTTCACTGTATTCTATTTACTCACAAGGCATTAAGCAGGCACAAACCATTCCTAAACATGGGGATCCAAGGGTGTGATTGGGATGGCTAACCACCCCTCCACACCAATGCTAATTATCAATCTAATTGAAAAAAATCCAAAATGTCCTTATGTTCCCTGAAAAACATCATCACTCAATGTTGCAAATCTTTATGCATTGCTCAAGGCCTTTGGTCTTTTTATACACTGACTGTAATGCCTCACCAATCCCTCCCCCTTTAACCACCTTGAAACAGCTTGGAGTTTAAGACCCCAGCCACCTGCCTAAGCAATACAAATCCTGGATGCACCACTGCTAAGAGCCTCACTTAGATACCTGAAGCAACTATGCTGCCTGTTCCTTTACAACAGATACAGCCATTAGAGGCTATCATCTGTTAAAAAAAAAGTCCAATGAAATAAACTAGAGGTTCGCGTTTGTTCAGTTACAAACGCAGAGTGGTCGGGCAGACAACTATTTCATTAGACACTGCCCATTTAAGTTATGAATATGTTATGTCAGAACAAAGGATCACGAACTTTAACCTTTCCAGTACAACCAATTATTTTGTAAAAAAAAAAAAATCTTTTGATGTCATCATGACGTCAGAGTAATATGCACCACTAGGGATGAGGGTCGATATATGTTGAAAGTTACAAGTTCATACCATATACCGTTTAGGAGAAAACCCGCCAAGAATTATTGTCCGGAAAAACAAAAAGAAGAAAAGAAAGAAAGATTTATCAGAACAATTCTAAACAGTGGTCGGGTTGTGCCCGACCACTCAATGAAAAGATATCATTCCGTGTCAATTCAACACAATTTTCAGTCAAATCGGGCATGTTTTCAGAAAAGTGGGGGTAGTATTCAAAATCGTGGCTAAGGTATTGTTGAGAAGAATAATTAGTCTTCCAAATGCTTTTTAGTTGGTTTCATTACGATGTTTTGTTCAAAAGATACAGCAATCACAATACGGGACTTGAAAAACCACTTGGGTCACTTTTTTTATTTATCAAATTTACGGATCGAGGCCGGTAGAATAAGTCACACTTTACTCCTGAACAAAGGAAATCAATCCTTTGTGTGTTTCTCTAACTGCGCTTTCTCACTTTCAAGAAAAGTGGCCCAAGAAAATGTTTTTTCAACCCTTAAGTTCGATGAAGCATAGCGTTTTTTCCAATGGATCGATTTTAATGAAATAAAGTTGGTATGGTAGATTGGTTATCCAATTTTTAAGAGGTTAACTTGAAAATATTCCAAAACCCACATGCAATATACCTTTATTAATTGGTTTTCGACTGTTAGTTTTTTGTGGGACAACCTGTATTTGGTGTAGTGATTGGCCTAAAGAAACCTGCAGAACTGATTTTCTTTTGTAATTTAATGGTTAGTTTTTGAGATACGGGTCAACCGACCTTTGACTACTTAGCATGACCTCTACACTTAAATACATGCATCTCCACAAGTAAGCACCTGCAGAGCCAAGTTTTATATAATTTTAAAGCTCTTTGAATGGCCTCCATTTCATAAAATAAAACAAAAATCATAGCATGATGCACAGAGAAAACACATAATGAAATAATCTCTGACCTTGAATGACCAAAATAAGTATGCTTCACATTTCCTATTTTTTAACTTCCAAATGCTATTTATTATTTTTTTTAAAAAGGGGCCACCGGGCCACCAGCTACAGGGTTAACCTGACTTTTGCCTGACCATGGGCATGGGTTGACATCTTGATTCCCCATAGTATTGTCATGAACAGCCCAAAACATGGGCATGTTGACCATTTTTCACTCCCGATGGACAGCTGGGTTCCCTGGTCTAACGTTAAAGATCAGACGGCCAAAGTGGATGACATCAACAAGGCTCAAAGCAATTGTTGTTCCTCCCACACCAATTAATATTGGCATTCTTTAGACATGGCCGTTACACTACCCTGATAATGTGGCTGAAAATTTTTCTCCTGGATAATTTTTCTCACTGTTTTGAACTGAGTTACGACGGTCCACGTGTAAGTAGGGATGCAGGCTGATTATCTTCAGCTTTGCAGTGGCCACTTGTGGTTAAAGAGATCTTGCACAAAGAAATCAACTTAGGCAGGATTGACCGCACCTTTGCTCCCACACTCAAATTTTCAATGTTCGCATATTGGTTTTGTACCAAAACATGAGCCTAATTCCTTTAGATTAATCTAACATTTATCCTTTCCATCAAGAGGCTCAATCAATGATTTTATTGACAGAGATAAATAAGCCATTCACTACTTCCCATTTGATAAGGCTTTTGAATTGGTTGAGGGGGCCAGGCCAGGGGCTTGGATGGCAAAATCAACATCAAATCTGTATTTTGCTTACTTTCCGTGTCCCCGTCGGATTATATACTTCTCGGTTTTCGGTTTAACAACTGATATTATGATAAATGCCTTCCAATGGGATGTTCAATTGCTTGTTCCCTTTTTGAGACTTTAAGTACTTCTTTTTGTTTCATGGTTGTTGTATGTCGCAGTCACATTTTATTACACACTATTTGGATGATTTTTCTATTTTTAGGTTGGACAGATCAGAATTGTAATTTCTTGCTTCAGACAATCAAGGAGTGTCTGGGGGTGCTAACTGCAGAAGAGACAAGAGGTTTGCGGACCGCATGTGTCGCCTTTTTCCGTGGTCAATCCCTATATGTTTTGTGTTTTAAAAAAACAAACATCTCAAATGGCCCCTAGATGACCTTTGACAACCAATTGGGAAGATTTGTGATGAACCCCCACCCAAGGATCACTTCAAGCAAGTTTCATCAAAATCCATGAAAGCATGTAGAACTTATAAAAAAAAATCTAAACTTTAACTTATGGGTCTACGGTCATACAGAATTTAGGACTGGTAAGTGTCTCACAAAAACTACAAGCCAAAGTCGGTCGATTGTTTCCTGGGAGTAGAAATAGACTCATAGGCAGGTTAGGGTACTAGATGGGAAAGTACAAGCACTGCGTGAAAAGATCACACAAGCACTGCGTGAAAAGATCACACAAACATTGTACAAGTCGAAGGTGTCCTTGCGGGCACTTCAATCATTGCTATAATCCCTTAATTTTGTGTGCCAGGCTATTGCTCCAGGTAGGGCACTTACTTGGAGGCTTATTGCACTATTTATAGTGGAAGGAAATATTACTATAAAATCCGTATTTTGACTGGGGCAAAATTTAACCTAATGATATGGTTTGAAATGACCATTTCAACAGAGTGTCCCAATTCCGAAATGGTAATTGGGATGACAACAAATCACTTAAGCTGTTTATAGATGCAGCAGCGAGCATTGGATTAGGAGGTTTCTTTGTGGGCAAGTTGTTTCAGGGGAGATGGCCACAGACAATTACCCTCCCTCCATATGCCTTTCTGGAATTTTTTCCAAAAGTGGTGGCTGTCCATTGCTTGGGCCCATTTCTGGCCAACCGAAACGTTTGATTCCGTACAGATAATAGCACCGTAGTGCATATTGTTAATAACCAGACCTCCAGCTGTTACAAGATCATGCAGTTAAAGCAGAGCTTTGTGTGTCAGTGCCTCATGCACTATGTGGTGTTTAAGGCAGTTCATGTGTCAGGCATTTGTAGCAACATTGCAGATTCCCTATTCCCTATTTGACAACATTTCAGGTCATCTGTGGCCCCCCAGGCGGATCTCGCTATGACCACCATTCTGGAACAGCCAGTGGCGCACCCAGGATTTGGCTTTGGGGGGAGGGCTCACAATTTTGTTTTGGTCAATTTATTTTAAATTTAGTTAACTGAGAACAGCACTTCATATTCTAACAGGTGAGATAGGCCGGCTCTTGTCAGTAGCCTTGACCAGTATCTCCAACACTAACAATCCAAATTACCAAACAAAAATCAGTTCTGGGGTTTCTCATATACGCCAATCATCAAACCAAACATTGTTTCAATTTGTGAGGGTCGGGTGAAAAATTGTGTTAAAAAGACACGGAATGACCCTAACTTCTCTAACCAATTAGCACTTGTATTAGATAGTACTACATTGTATTTTCTTGATGAAATCGCAAACCATAGTTTGCTGGGGCAGTTTTGGGTGGTATAAGGAGTAACAGGCAGGGCAGTACTGGGACTAATGGGTATGGTACCTGCATCACGTGTGATATTGCATCAAAAAGTTCTATGAGCTTAAGAAAGCCATAGTCTGCTACACGGCACTGACGACCAAAGTGATGATGGTAGCTGGGAATGAACTTTGAGAAGGCCAGTCTGCATCTTGGAGTGTGTTTGAGAAGCTCAACTGCCTCCTTACTAAACTGGAATAACTGTGGAGGTAGCAAAGGAGTGCTGCTTCTGCTTCCTATTTTAAACAAATAAAGATCTCTACATTATATTTATGTTACATTAAATTTGAGTGCAAAAATCTAATACATTACAAAAGTAAGGGTTCCTGTCATTTTGATTTTGAACCCTGTAACTTTTGTTTGTATGTTTCAGGTCAGTCAACAGAAGTACACATTAATGTGATTTTGGTTAATTTAATCGGCAATCTCTTAAAATCAAGCATAATCTGTGGGTGTGGTGTTCTAATACAATCGACTGAACTAATGGTGTAGTAAAACTAGCCTCCCCCGGTGACCATGGAGCATTCACTTTCCCTTAGTTATGCCTTGGGAAAACATAATGACCCAGGAAACAAGCAACGACCGCACAAGCATACAAACACAAGCCCCAAGCAAGATAAACAAACAAACAAACAAGCACATAAAACGAGAACAAAACGGGGAAAAAAACAAGATTAAAAGAAGGGCCAACTGGATTGTGGATAAGGTTTAGCAAAGTCCCATCTGTACAACACTTAGGGTGATGTAGTTCACACCAGGAGTCAGCCAGTGTAAACTCAGTTTAGCAATGAAAGCGTTCAGACCAAAGATCAGGCTATCCACAACGTCTGCGGGCAGGGTGTCCCATAAACAGGGGAATCTGACAGAAAAATTCCTTTTCTGTCAACATTTTTCGGTCAAAGATTCAAAACAAGTCAAAAATTGCGTTTTGAAGTTAGGACTATGAAATACTGAATCACTGGTAGTATTGCGCATGCCTACTTGAGGATTGTAAATGTTCAACCAATAAAACGGTAAAAAGGCACTGGATTTCATAGGAGCCCAATTTCATGTGGCACTGGAAAGTGTTTAAGACCAGCCAGCCGGTCTTTATCATCCGCTTAAGACCGGCCATGTGACGGGCTCTCAACCAATAGGAATGGGTAAACTGTCTTGGGTACTTATGAATTGTGCATAATGCACAGACACATATTGTATCGATGTTAAGTCAAGAGCATTTTTTATAAAGATACAGGAGGTTTATGAAAGCTTAAAATTTTGGTTAAATAGTATGCATGTGTAAAGACTCCACGTTGAACTAGTGGTTGATTTGTGACGTAACTTACGCCTGTGTACTAATAGCAATGTGCGAACGTCTCTAGTCAAACGTCTGGTCAAAATGTCATCGCAAAACTTCGGGTCCGGGCTCCCTGCTGTACGTTATGAATGCCCGCGGCTTTTGGTAACCAGCGATGCAACCAGGCCCAGTAGGCTGGTTCCAAATAGTTGACTAGCGTAGTCAACCATCGTCGACCAGACAGAGTTTGGGCTAATTTTAGTCGAACTATGGTTAACCATTGGTCAACAATAGTTCTTGCGCGAACTTTCCCAGTGTTTACAAAGGGAGAGTTGATAGAGACCACTGGGAGGGACTCTTGAATGCTTTGCAGATGATGATGACGCCTGTGCAAATTCAGCACAAAATAAGTTGTGTGTACTTCTTGCCATATGCATACCAACCTCCCAATGAATTGCCATCTACTGTTCCTGCAGAGTTCATAAAATGACATTGCATAAATGATCATCACTGATCATGATCACAATAATGATCAATCAATGCACTACAGGAAAATCCAACAGTGCATCCTGCAAGGAAACTAGAGGTCTGTATCATAAATATAGCAGACATATATATATGACATAGTGACATTTTGTAGCCAATGATTCACAAAATGACTGTAAGTGGCCTGAATGTACATGTCAATGTCAAACAAACGGTCTGCCAGAAAAAACTCCACCAACCATGACATTGTGCTTTTTTTTCAAAGTGTGCTTTCACATGATGTTGTAAGCGTATGCCTGGCTAGAAAATATCGGTGGTAGGAAGTGCTCAAGGTTAAAAAATTGTAAGAAAAAGAGGGAGCAACAGCTTTTGGCCGGGGACAAAATTAGTACCAGTGCACTGAAGAGTGACTGTGAAAGTGTCTCTGAGTAAAAAATGTACCACAGTTTTGTGCTTCATGTTTGTGATTATAACCCTCTGCAACAAAATGGAACATACGTAGATATAATAAAAACTCTTTGAGTTTGTGATGTCACCATCTTTGCGTGGAAACTCAGCTATCAAATATTTGCACTATTCCATACCAGTTTCTGGCTGTGGTTTACTCTGTTCCCAACACACAGTTTTGAAGCCGTCTCGACTCACTCCTACTCGTACACCTTGGATACAGGTCAACAAGTGTTCCAAAGGTACTCCATTTTCAAAGTCCTCTGTTAATGTTGAGAATTCAGCAGAATAACAAACCATAAAACTGTGAAGACAAAAAATACACATACGAAATCAAGTACATGTATGTCAATTCTTGCAAAAGCTAATTTCACAACAACAGAGCAATTGTTCATACTCAAATCTGTAGCAAACGGAGTAGAGTCTTTGGCATGGGCTCTGGATAGCTACAAAACGTATACCTTATTTACTTTACAGTGTAATTGTTATTGCTTACATCCATCAGGGATAGCTGGCATTCTCCTTGTTTTCTTCAAAACTCATGGAGTACAGCAATATCAGCAACGCCTATCTTAGCATCCCATTTTTCTATTTGCTTGACCCAAATTATCAAAACTTGCACCATAAATATATCAACATTTTCCTTTCCATTAATGATGGGAAATTTAAGCCCTATACATGCATTGTCATGAGAGAGAAGATTTGTGCACCCAGTGTCAGCATGCTTGGGTGGAATTAGTGACCAGCCACCTTGTACATGCACCAGTGGAGGGCATTCAGAAATTCTTGCTGTGCAAATATAACAAATCTGAGTGTCTAATACTTGAAATGAATACATCAAAACGGAAAAATACACATCATCATCATGGCCCATCCCATCGTGAACGACAATGAAGACGGCGACTCTCACAGTCATCTAAGTACAGCTGTGTTGAGGTAGAGCAACCATTGTAGATAGCAGAGCGCCAATGGGAACGGTTGCTGGCAGTTGACTCCCAAGTAATGTTTGGTATCCCAAAAGCGGCGAGATCACATTTCAGGACATCTTTGTATCGCAGTCTGGGTCGGCACGTTTCACTGCATCCAGAGTTATATTGCTATCAAGCTCATGCAGGATTGGAAGTTGTGGCAGAGAGGTTAATGCATCAGGGCTCACTTCAGCTTCACTAGCATACAGAGAGCTGTAGTGCTCTGCCCACCGGTCAAGCCGTGCTGATGGATCAGTGAGGGTAACGCCAGAAGCAGACAGCAGTGGAGCACTCTTCTTTGGGGTAGGGCCGACGGCCTCTTTAATACCGTTGTAGAGGCCATAAAGGTCCCCTGAGTCAGCACAATGTTGGATGCGAGCACTGAGACCAGACCAGTAGTGACATAGGGCAGTTCGAGTAAGGCCTTGGACGTTACTCTTAGCAGCACGGAGTGCAGATGACGAGGAGCGGGTATGAAGCATGGTGACTTTCATTCTGGCTGCACGTTTGGCCTCAAGAGCTGGGAGCAGGATGTCAGCTCTATCACAAAACTAGTCGGGTTGTGTTCAAGTACGCCGACCAAAGGCAGTGAGAATGCAGTCCATGACTGTAAGCCTGGACCATGCGGGACTGGGATTGTTGGGTGTAGGGGATGAACTGACATGATCGGTGAGGAGCTCTTGGAACTTGGTGACGCGTGTGATGTCCCAAGTAGCGGAGGTATCAACTGCATTGGTTGGCTTCGGATGAGCTTGATGAAACTTTTTCGGTTGCATTCTGAGCTTGCAGCAGATAAAGGCCTGGTCAGTGTTGCAGTCTGAAGAGTGCATGCTACGGCTTTGATGAACATCTCGCAATTGCCCCTTCCTTACAATGATGTGGTCGAGTTGATGCCATCAGTGTGAGTGAGGATGCATCCAGGTGGCCTTGGAGCGAGGTGAACCTGCGAAGAATGTGCTTGTAAGACACAGGTCATGGCCGGCACAGCACTCAAGGAGACGTTGCCCATTATCGTTCATTTTGCCCAGGCCGTGAGGACCAATGACACCACTCTAAGACCTGAAATCAGATCCGATGCATGCATTGAAGTCTCCAGCGAGCACAATGCTATCCCCAGGTGGTATGCTACGCAAAATATTGTCAAGCAGTTGATAGAATTACTCCTTTTCCACAGAATCAGCCATCAGAGTTGAAGCGTATGCAGAGATGACAGTGACAAGGCCGCTACTGAGGCGAATCCGCATGGACATGAGTCGGGGAGAATGGGAAACAGGTTGTTGGATGCATGAGAGCAGAGAGTTCTGAATTGCAAGGCCAACTCCATGCATAGGTCTTGCATTGTCTGGGTAACCGCTCCAGAAGGAGAAGTTAGCCTCGCGAGTCGAGCCACTACTGGTAAGCCAGGTCTCACTGAGAGCACAGACACTTATGCCCAGATGAGTAAGAGGTCGACCACCGTAGACTTTCTTGGGGAAGAAGTTTAGCGATATGTATGAATACTCAGGGAGTGAACATTCCAACAAGCTAACACAAGGGAGGCAGTAGCAGGATATCAACCCAGACGCGCCTGCCTGGAACACAACCCTTGCCGGGCATCGAAAGTCCCCAAAAAGGATGACATCCGATTTGCCAGTCGCTTATTCTAATTTAGACGTACAATCATGACTGTGAGGCGCCAAGCGCTGAGGCAAAAGTTATTGAGAGCGAATGCTTGCCCGGGACAATGAATGCCCGAGACCTTGCATTCATCTGAACCAGCAGAACGCACGGCATGACGGCTGGGATGAAAGAAGGCTGCCCCGCAGTGGCGAACTAACTACGCCTTATGACCAACAACCGTTGACTCCGAAGCAAGTTCCTCCACTTGACTGTCTGCTACAACATACCGGAGACACTTGCATGAAGAAAGTGACCATGCTGTGATTGCAGCTGCCAGCCCCTGAATCCACCTTACAGGTTCACTCATGTAGTTCAGCTGACCAGCCAAGGTCAGTATACTGGGGTGTGGCCACTGTCGTACATGAGCAGTTCCGTGGAGCCATACATGAGCTAGGATGCACTGTTGGAAGCAGAGGTTAGAGCCCCCATAAACATGGGGCGGCTGCCCATCGCCAAAGGTATTATCCATCCAGAAAACCCCAACACACACACACACACACACAAAAGCATCCAAAACAATTGCGGTTCACATTTCTTTATGCTGTTGATGATAAACAAGGTGGTTCCATGTACGTAACTCAACTCAACTCGACAATCAGTTGAAATTTTACAAATTGAGTGTGTCAAATAGAGCACTTTCAGCCGTGTGGTTGCAAAGGGCGATTTCTAAAGGTTACGTAACACTTTATATTGAATGAAACTACATGCACACAGACATGTTCACATTGGCGGGTGAAATCTTTGAACCTTAATTTCTCCCGTTTGGAAGACCATATCTCCAGGTGCGGATCGGGGGGGTGAAGGGGGGGGGGGTGGGGGGGGGGTCGTTAAAAAGAAAAACCTAGCTCTGTCAACATTTTTTTTTTCATAGAAATTCATAAAAACAATTATGTGAACCCCCCCCCCCTCTCACACCCAAAACAAAATTTACTGGTATAATGTCCGCCTGTGCACAAAATACTGACAGAGCCAGCTTAATAGGGGGTATTTGTACACTATTCTGTAATATAGTGTTAATAATTGTCGAATTTGAAAAAAACCACAAAAAAAAACACCATTATTTTATTTTACGGAGGCCAAGTGAAAAAAAGCTGTCTACATTTCAGATTTTTGTTCTGATGAAACCCCTCCCCCCCCCCTTATTTCCCTTATAATGATCCAAGTATGTGCTAAAAATCGTTGTGATATGTTCATTACTTTTTGTTGAAATTGGAAAAATAGGCCTGGCTACGTGCACATTTTAAAGTTGTAACACTGGTGTTTGCAATATCTGTCAAACTTTTCAAGCCTCACAAATATTAATAAGGTTCCTATCCATTATCATCATCATCATCATTGGGCGGCAGCAGCCGAGATGGATGAAACCAAACTCCTCCAGACTCTCTTGTCCACCATGGCCGTGGTGATGTCATCAACGTGCTGGCTCACATCATTGCATACAGTGTCGACGTAGTTGAGGGGTCTCCTCCCTCTGTTGGGGCAAGGCAATCTCCAGCAGATGAGGTCAGAGACAACTTTGGCTCTGTAGCAGTGGCCGGCAGGCGGGCTTTGCGTTGTGCCACTGGTGTGCAGTAAAAATTTGCAGAAAAGCCTCCTTCACGAGTTATTACTTAATAAATATCACCCTTTCTGCCGGCTTCCGTTGGTCGATACCAAAACCAACGCCAAGTCACGCCAAGTGATGCTAATGAATATGCGCTTCTTCAGTGTGTTGCCGGGCCGAAATCAGTCAATCATAGTGCCTACGGTGCTATTGAATCTTTGCTGAAAACCATTCATGTGGTTTGGAAATTTTCCTTGGAGATAGTTCAAGGTGTAACACTAGCGTTTGCAACAACAGATTAAGCTGAAATTTGGAACATACTTAGATGATATAAAGTGTTCAACTACTCGTGAAATAACAACTTTCGGAAATTCCTAGAAACTGATATGACTACATAGATTTGGGGATGTTTTCGAACAATGTCTTCCTGACTTGAAGGTCAGCTTTACTAGTAACCAGTATTGAGGTTTCAGCATCGATGACGGCGATTTTTTTCACTGACATGAAGTTTAGAATTTCTTCTTCTGTTATAATTTAACTTTTCAATCATACTGAGCATATTTTCTGAGAAACAAAACATTTAAAAGGCCATGTTTTTTTCAGGTGCATGAATTTCACTGCTCTGTTATAGCGTCTAAGTACGTAATTTGATTAAGTTTGCTTATCAACGGGCCATGCTTCACCTTCGCAACCATATGGCTGCTTTGGCATGGCTTGGCTGAATTTTGGAATAGGACACTGGGTCCTGCAATTTCTTATGCTTGCTGATAGTTAAAGATGTACGTCGCTTTGACATACCGATTGCTCCTGAACCTGATATGAAACATTGTTTGGAAAACAATTTCTAACCTTGCTGAACCAAACCTGAAACCCAACTCAAGGGTTAACTTGAAGCATTCAATGATAATCTGGTTAAAACAATCTGGTTATGTCATTAATTGAGGGGTAAATGCACAATTCAGTGTGAGTGATTGCAACATTAACTATGAAGGCATACAATTTGCCAAAAAAGTTGGGAAATTTAGCTGACTTGGATGAGTTTTTGAGAAACGACATGGTGACAACTAAAAATGGGCTGAGAGGATTGAGTTTTGATCAACGTAAATGTAAAGTTCGCTCTTCTTGGATTAGGAATTACTTTGAGTTTGATGCCATCACCAAAAATCCATTTTAATGCCTCTATTTTATATCTCACTTTTGCATTTCATAGTAATTTTTATGTCAAATTACTTTTTTCTGTCGCACTGTACCTCTGTTGGAAATTGATAATGCTTATCATATTTTATTTTTGTTTACCAAATAAACGTGAGTTTCTAAAGTAACGTCTCCGCTCAGTAGAGCCCAGACTGTTTTAGGTCTTGTTTACACCCCAATTATCTTTTTTAGTCTTTGATACTGTAGGGTGGAACCCCTTGCTGCTTTGGTGGCCCACTTTTAGCCAACCAAAGTTCACAGTATTTTATAACAGTGCAGATTTATAAACAAAATCAAATACTTTGAATGTGTTGGAAGTTGAATATGTTAGTGTCATGGACTGGAAAAGGATACAGTATCCAATTGTATTTTGGCAATCCATAGGGCATGTAGTGTGGTGAGCAATGTAATAGTCTTATGTTAATGATAGCATAATTTTTCTCTGCATAAGTTTTCTCTGCCATATGTGAAGGGCTATATCTTCTACAAATGTGAATATATGTAACACACGGAACTACAAATTCAATCTCTCAGCTAAACTGTAAACCCTTTGGTGCAGAGAATATTTGGATAAGATGCAAAGATTATAATGTTCTTGAGTGGTTGCTATAGCGACCGCCTTGTACACTAGAAGTCTTAGTATTAATATCTGAATTGACAATCAAAAGTAAATGCATTGAATGTACTAAACTATAAGTACGGTACCTGATTAGTGGTATCTTTCCATTGTGCATTAGCAGCAGAGTGTGAACCTGAGAAGAAAATGTCCGGATGGACACGATGACAAATGGGTCTTGTGTCACATGTCTGTATTGCAGAGTGTCTTGACAATCATGGATGGAACAAAATGGTTCACATGGCTCTGGTAAAGGCTCCCTGTATAAATGAAAAGAATCACACCAGCTTCAGATGCAATAACCATATCTCACCAAATAATTTAAAATTTACTTCAATATGTTTGATTTTTGTTATTTAAAAAAAGAGACAACATATTTAATTTGATAACCACTGCTATATAATAAGGCAAGTTTTCTGTGTGCGCATGTAAGAACATGTTTTAATATACATTTGAGAACAACAAGAGAGAGAACAGATTTGCCGTCCTCTGAGATTTTTTTGTTAACTTACGTTTGTGTGCTTATATTACAGGACAGTGTTATAGTTTTGGAACAAAAAAAAATTAGTCACTGCTTTCATGACAAGGCAAAGTCCCTTCCCACAGCAAAATGCATGTTTCCAGAAAATCATGTTTGAAGTGGGTCATTTTTACATAAATTAAAGGCTGTAGACAACATTTGTATTTGCTGTACTTTCTTCGTAAATGAACATGTTTTGGGGGGCTAGTAATTTATATCACATGTTCCAACTGTTCTGTGTAATGTTTGGTTTCCACAGGTGCCAGGTTAACAACAACAAAAAAAGCTGTTCACTTTAACCACTGAGGTGTAGTTCACAAAATAGTGCATACAACCCATCGGTCACAGGCTGTGTCATGGGAAAGAAATTACACACATGTGCCTGCGTAACTGGGCGTATGCATGAGGACAAGAGCAGCTACTTTGTTTCTGCTATTGAGTCAAACAAAAGCAACTCATCTACTTTTTAGAGTGTAGTGACCTCTATCACTTCCCAATGTGAAGAGCAACTGAATGATCTGGTCGATGTGGCTGATGTATTCAATGACAACTTCTCGACACATGGTCAGCGCATGGCCGAGAATATTCAGTCAAGTGTTGCTTTATGGGGATGATAAGTACCAATGTTCATGCTGCGGCTCACTACAACTTGGAGGAGTTTGTTTTTCCTGACATTACTGACGAATTTGTTAAGAAACAGATTAGTTCAAAGCCTATCAGGAAAGCAACCCGTCTCTTTTTGAAAACAGTCTTTTTGACCCTGTACAGTGTTATCCTCTGCTTTAGTAACATGATTCATGTAGTTTGCCTGTTTTGCACTCCATCAAGTGACCAGTGCAATATGGAATCCTTTGTTGTTTTTTAGCCATGTTTATGTCCTGTTTACTTGGATTTTTTTCATAAGTTGTGAAACGTCAGTAAGGAAGTATTCTACTAGGCTAAAAAATCATAGGGGTACTATCAAAAGGGATAATCTCAAAAGTTAATTAAATAAAAAATGGATGCCTGGTTAATGATGATGACACCAAGTAAACCTTATATTTATTCAGTCAAATACAAAGTTTCAAGTACTAATTCTAAACACTGCAATTGAGTCCATTGATCTAATTCTGAATAACTCTACATGTAATTTTGTATATTATTATAGAAAATCATGCTAGGGAGTTCAGGTTTATGTGTGCTGTACATGTATGTGTACTTGTAAACTGTCATTTTGTACAGTTAGTACAAACCAACTTCACACATTTCATACACAAAGCGGCTGAAATCTTTACAGTCCAGTGCACATGGGAATATGTGGTTTAAGGTCCAGGACCCCGCCACAGTATCCATGCAACAAATCCTTTGTAAGTCAATTCAGCCACACAATGGAGACTACAACAGTACACAGATGTTATTGCCTACAGTCATTAACAAGGAGCGATTTTTGTAGATGTTGAAAAAAACAACATTTGATGACACATCAGAGCCGGAATGGATCATAGGTTACAGTCGAGTCGAGTCGAGTCATTTTAAAGAAGTGACTCGAGTCGAGTCGAGTCGAGTCGAGTCATTTTAAAGAAGTGACTCGAGTCGAGTCGAGTCATTAGGTCCAAAGGTTGAGTCGAGTCGAGTCAAGTCAAATATTTAGCTCGAGTCAATTCGAGTCGCGAATATTTGAACACTATATACCAACATTTATAAAAGGAGGCCATAAGTTTAGCCAGTGTTCGAATCCAAGAGCTTTATAAGAAATCGCCCAAAGCCAACGATGAAACAGCGAATTAGAAATTTGTTTAAAAATCTGGTTCCTAGATAGCATTTTGTGCGTTCTAGAACCATGAGGTGGGAGTCTGTGACACGTTATATGTGTACATGACTGCTATTCACAAATCGAAGCGAGCACAAAATTTGCACCGTAAGTCATTGCAAATACTTTTCGCAAAGTTGTGCTTTTATTTTTGAGACTAGAGTCTTATTAGCATTCGCTCGAGTCGAGTCGAGTCTTTTGATGAGGGACTCGAGTCGAGTCGAGTCATTAGCTCGCAGTGACTCGAGTCGAGTCGAGTCATTTACCCTTAGGGACTCGAGTCGAGTCGAGTCACCAAAAATTGTGACTCGAGTCGAGTCAATGACTCAAGTCATTACAACTCTGCCTCTAGAAAGCAAAAAGACACAAACAAAGTTATTGATCCCACATGACTTATCTCTCCCATGTATATTGCAGGAGCAATTGTAACAATTTTGCTCAAATGAATACAGCCAGATGAGTCCTTTTAAATGTAAATTAAGGGTGTTCTTCCTGTATTTTTTTAAGAGGATTTCTTTTATCGGGGAGGAGAGGGGTATAGTCCAGCGGATATGTGAAAAAATTGTGTGCACTTTTGCATGGAAGCATAAAACTTGGCACAGATGTTTATATTCATGCGAGAAAATGTTGTAGATGTGGAGCCATCACAAATTTACCCTTTTAGGGGCGTGGCATCCATTTAAAAAAAGGGGGGTGGGACTTGTCGTGCCTGCAGTGAAAACGGTTGTTCCCACTTGTCACAAAAGCAGGAAACTTCACAAAGACATAATTATATAGATTATAAGTGTTTTCCACATTTGGAGCCACCACAAAAGTACCTTTTTGGGGGTGTGGCAGCCATTTTAAAAAAGGGGGGTAATTATTATGCCCACATTGGAAAAAATTGTTTCCATATTTCATGAAAAAATTAAACGTCCCACAGACAATTATATTCATTAAAACAAAAAATCCAGATCTGGAGCCATCTCGAACGCACCCTTTTAGGGGCGTGGCAACCATATTAGAAAAAAAGGGGGCGGGGTTTTCATTATGCCCACCATGGAAATATTGTTCCCACATTCATAGAGAAATGGAACTTTGCACAGACATTGACATTCATGAGGAAAAATATTCAAGACGTGCAGCCATATTCAAAAAAAGGGGGCGGGGTTCTCATTATGCCCACCATGGGAAAAAATGTGCCCACATCTCATAAACGAATGAAGCTAATTCCCACAGACATTAATATTCAAGAGAAAAAATTCAGACGTGGAGCCATCGCAAACACACCCTTTTAGGGGCGTGGCAACCATAGTAAAATGGGGGGGGGTAGTCATGATGCCCCTATAAAAAAAAATGTGCCTACCTTTTATAAATGGATGAAACTCCACACGGACAATACATTCATGAAAATCTTTCTTTTTTCGAATGTGAAGCCATCACAAACTTACCCGTTTAGAGGCGCGGCATCCATTTTCAAAATGGGGGGGGGGAGGACTCCATATGCCCACAGTATTTCATTAAAAACAGTATTTCATTAAAAACAAAAAATCTTAACTAAGGGCCAAAAATGTACATCTTGCTGAGTAAATCCAAACAGATTGAGGTAAAAGATTTTCCTGGTCATTTTTTTGGGGGGGAGGGGGGCGTGGAGAGTAGGTTGGCTTGGTGACAAGTTCATTTCACATTTCTCTTAACTGGTTACATCAATGAATTGCTGTGATGCCGATTGTTTACAAATGTCTAAACATTATACTCATGTGAAATATACAACCAAATCCTTGTGCCCCCACACTCCTCCAAAAATAATACTCAACTAGACTTATGTTTGTAGGCAAACACAGGGCTGTTTCGGTTACTTTTTGTGACATGTGACATGTAAAGTTTCAACTAGTTCCATCCAGGCAGGATGTGTAGTTCTGTTTATAATAAATTGTGTCATATAATATGTGATTTCATTCTCATTGGGCTTTGAATTATGATGTCACATTTCACGTGATGATGTCATAATGACGTCACATCAATTTGCATCTATAACTATAATTTATTTGGAAATAACAACTTAGCCAGAGCATACATCGTTGAAAGCAAGTTCACACCTTTGTCCAATTTTAAATTACAAGGCACTTCCGGTTTCAACCGGAAGGAAGTGTCACATGATTTTGCACATAATATCAAAAATGAAGACCTTGGATTATTATATCAATTCCCGCAAAAGTCATGTTCAGGTCTCTCACAGTTGATTTTAAAGTGATTTTCAAAGATTAAATCTATTCATCTTTAACGTGACGTCATGTGACCCATGATGACGTCATCATGACGTCACTTCATTTTTTTTATTATCTATAACACATCCCGGTCTAGGTAACTACCAACTTTTAACCCAATCGGGCATGTTGTTCTGTAGATATAGGCCTTCAAAGTATGCACTTTTAATATGACGTCACTTGTCACGTGATGACGTCATCATAACGTCATTTAAATTTCATCTATAACACATCCCGGTTTACGTACGTACCAAGTTTTAACCCAATCGGACCTGTTGTCATGGCAATATGCACCTATATTGTGACGTCACGTGACTCGTGATGACGTCACGATGACTTCAATGTTCGGCACACATCTGTGGATGGTGGTCTAAGTGTGTGCCAGGTATAAAGGCAATCGGATTGATTTTAGTGCCCAAAGCAGTGGCAGATCCAGGAATTTTCGCAGGGGGGGGGGGGTTTCATCAGCCAAAAAATCTGAAAATGTACACACGTTTTTTTTTCCGGACACTTGGCCTCCGTAAAATCAAAAACTGGGGGGGGGGGGGGGGGGGGGGGGGGGGGGGGCTGTTCAAATTCGACGATTATTAACACTCATTACAGAATGGTGTACCGTATTTTGAACAGGCGGACATTAGACCAGTATAATTTTTGGGGGGTGTCACAACAGGGGGGGGGGGGGGGGGGGTTTCGACTTATTTTTTAGGAATTT